GGCTGCTGTCCTTACTTTCCTGGTTCAGCCGGGCTGCTGTCCTCACTGTCCTCGTATTCAGCCGGGCTGCTGTCCTCACTTTCTCCCCTAGTCTGACATGTCCCTGTGCTGGGCCTAGGCCCACGCCATTGCCTTTGCTGACTATTCTCCGCCTTCTGTTTTCCCTGCTGATTTCCTCCCTAGCCTTTATCTTTTTTATTCTGAATTTGCCCCACACCAGTCAAGTGAGAGAGGTTTCTGAGTGCCGTTAGGGAACTCCCAGGTGTGCACACTCTTTCTGTCAATCCAGACCAGCAGCTGCTCAGCAGCTTAGTCTTGGCGAGGTGTCCAGCCCAGCCCAGGGCTGCAAGCAGTGTAGTTCAATAAAGTAAATAAAAATAAGAGAGAATCAGAATTTGGGATTTCCTGAGTCAGTGTGCAGATGTTTCTATTGGAGTTTGACCCCACGGGCCTAGAAGCCAGAGCGGCCAGGCCTCATTTCAAGGGCTCCTCCAAGATTCCCTTTTCTGTTCCCCACCTGCAGAGACGAGTCTTTTCTGTCTGGGGCCTCATTTAGCTCCTTTTTGGGGGAGCTCTCTGGTAACACCCCCACGTTCCCCTTCTGCAGAGCCAGATAGTTGCTCAAGTTGAAAATGCTGTTTTCGCCCACTCAGAACTGTTTAATGGTTCCCTGAAGGATGTGGAGCCCCATGAGGTGGATGCGGAGATTGAGAAACCCTTCTTCCTCAACCCTCGCCTGAGCATTTCTGCCCAGTTTCTTTCTCGATTCCAGAAAAATCCCAGGTAGGGAAGAGAGTGGGAAAGAGAGGAAAAAGGTGAAGGAGAGGATTTAGCCATGGCTAGGGAATGAGCCTCCCATGAGCCCAGCTCCCCAGTGCTCTGGTCCATGGGCTGACTGAGAGCACCGGCCTGCAGACCTTCCCCTCTGGGAGTCTACTGCTGCGTGGCCCAGGATTGAAGCCTGTCCAATCCCATGGTGATTCTTCCACTCCTTCCCCATCCCCCAGCCTGTGTCCCACCCCCCGCCATTCCCTTAGAGCCTCCCTCATCCCAGCCCCTCCCCCCTGCCAGATCCTCTGTGATGTTTACCCTTAGAAAAGCCTTTAATAGACCCATGACTTTGTGGAAGTCCCCTTCGCATCTCTGTGTGAGCCCCCCCTCAGCCTGTGGCGCTGTGTGCTATGGGCACTTCTCCTTAAGGCAGGCTGTCCACCACCCTATCCCCCCTCTGGGGCCCTCTCAGGTCAGCCCATCCCCTTCAAGAAGTGAGAAGAGCTTGGTTTTTCCTCTCTGTGTCTGTGACTTGGGGGCCTGAGCACTCACCCCCTCGAGGGAACTAGCTTCCTCCTCTCATCTCCTTCCTCTCTAGTCAAGACGCTGGTGCCCCGAGCTTGTGGGCTGATGTGGGGCAGGTAGCCAGCATAGACGCGGGGAGGTGTGCAGAGCCCAGAGTTGTGCGTTCCTCTGGAGAGCGCCCTGCCCTCAGGGCCTCAGCTGGCATTGCGTGCAGGCCCTGCTTGTGTCGGGGCTTGATGTCACTGCTTTTTGGTCTCCCCCATCGCACACCCCGAGCTTGGCTGAGGGTGGGGCCCATGCCTTCGTCATTAGACTGCAGCTCCTTTCCTTGTCCCGCCAGGCTCATCGTGCTTGATGCACCTGTTTCCCCTCCAGGTTTGCACACCCCTTCCCTCCGACTCTGCCCCTTCAGTTAGTGAAGCCGCTGGAGGCCGTGGCGCTTCGTCGGGAAGGGGCTGAGGCCCAGAGGGCTGACGGGAGCCATGGCACTGCAGATGCCTCTGATGTGAGTGTGGCTGCCTTACTGGCCCGACGGGAACTGGGGACAGGGAGGGGCAGGCTGGGTGGTTCCTTGCTTCTTTTGGATAACTGTGTGACGGCTTGGGCTTGAAGGGACTCCTTGGTGAGAAGACAGCTGAGAGCACGGAGACCCCAGCGCCTGCATCCTGGTGCCCACTGAGTAAGACTGACCCTTTGGCCACTGTGCCCTTTCCTGCCCTGTCCTAAGGCCCTGCTCCCATTGGGTAAGGCCTTCCTGTGTTCTCCCCACCCTCCCACCACCCTCAGGCCTAGTACCCTTTAGGCATCAGTCATCTGGGAACCCTCTGTACCAGGACAAGAAGGGTGCTGACCCCACTGTAGCTGCTGAGTGGTTCCCCCTGTAGGACCCAGACATCAAGCCTTGTTGAGCCTGAGGCTGTTGGGGTCTGACCAGGCAGTCACCCCTCCCTTTCTCAGTGATGGCTGAAGGAGTAATATGTCTATTTGTTTTCTGTCTAGGCTCTGGCATCACTGGCAGAGTGCTAGGCCCACCCCCTGAGGCTCTCCTGGGCCTCCCCCTAGAGAAAGAGAGGGAAAGGATACCAAAGCAGTCGCCTCCACTGCCCTCTGCCCTGGCCCGTTCCTGTGTGGAGGCTGCCAGGAACTGCCACGCAAAGATGTCCCGAAGCATATCTCTTGGAGAAAACCTCACCCCTACCCCGGCAGAGCACCCCCGATCCTTGTGTGGCTTAAGGAGGCCTCTGTCAATGGGAGAACTGTCAACAGTGGGGCAAGATGGTTTGCCAAGCAGCGCCAGTGAGTTGAACAGCAAGGAGGGGGGCCAGAGCCTGCCCCTCTGGGGTAATCATGAAGCCCGAGCCAGCCTGAGGCTGGACCTACCCAATGTCTGTGACCAGCCCCTGATGCCTCCCCAATCATCGCCCCCTACCCCAGCCACTAAGCTTCCTGAGACAGGCCTAGGAAGAGGCTGGGCTCAGGGCTCTCTAGCCACTGTGGAAACTGCCCCAGCAGCGTTCCTGGCCAGTGACACTCCTGAAGTGAAGGTCATGGGCCTCACTGAGCCCAGCTTTCTCCAGAAGCTGTCGGGGACTGAGCTACCAGCTCGGGCCCACGTCGAGGGCCCGGCCACCGTAGAATCTCTGGGGCCCAGGGGCGTCAGTTCTGAATCCTCCCTCTTGGAACCTCTCCCTGGTAAGTGTCCTTGCCTCAGGGACTCAGGAGGGGTCCTTCCCCCCAGCCCCCCAGCCCAGGCTCAGGGTTTCCAGCTTGCAGGCGGAGAGGACTGTACTGTTTCTGTCCCACTCAGAGCAGAGGCATTCCTATATAGGGCTGCCCCGTAGGCCCTGGCACCGTCACCTCATAGTTGTCTTTACCCCTTCAGCCCCACACGCTGTCATTGTCGGCCACCTCTCCATCACTGTGGGTGTTCAGAATACACCGTGACCCTCTTGTCACTAGCCCTGTGCCCTCACATCCATCCTCACAGCATCCACTGTGCTGCCAGCCTCCATGAGCCCAGCTCAGCTCCTCCCCCTGGAGATCATCCCCTCTTTGTCCTGGGCCCGCTGGCTTTGGGGAGCCTCCTTTTGCTGATGGGGCTTATCCTCTGTCAGTCCCCCAGCTCAGCGTGAGCAGTGTGGAATGTATCACCCTAAAGCTGAGGAGCAGCTTCCAGGAGGCCTTGAACCTTTACAACCTGGTAAGGGCTGGGAGTGCTGTGGGTCAGGCCTGGGGCTGCTGAGGGAAGGGAGTGGAGATCCTGGCCTCCGCTCAGCGAGTGGTCCACTTCTCCTTTCTGCTCTTTGGCCTCTGGGGATTCTCCCTGTGGCTTCCTCTTGCCCCATCCTCTTCGCTGATGACAACTGTCTGACCCCACCCCATCCCAGCCTGGGCAAGCCTGGCTGCCATGGCCCTGGGCCAGAGGCCCCGCTGGCCAAGAGGGCTGGCTGCCTGAACCCGCCTCCTTTCTTTCCTCCCAGGTGGTTTCCACTCCTCAAGTGAGCAGGGAACAGCAGCAAGTCCGATCAGAATTGTCGTCGACCTTCCGGTGGATTCAGGGCCAGCTGGAGGCTGTGGCCCGGCTAGGGGGGGAGGAGGTGGCCCAACCCTCATCCCCACCCTTGTCTCCAGCCCCTTCCCCAGCTCAGGGCCTGGCCCCAGCCCCGGCCTCAGCCTGGACTCTTTCCCCTTCCCCTGCAGCCAGCCCAGCCCCAGGCCTCCCGTCCCCTCTGCTGTGGTCCTTGCCCAGCTCAGAGGTCCGAGCCCTATTGGAGCACTACTCAGAGCTGTTGGTGCAGGCTGTTCGAAGAAAGGCGGGTGGCAGGGAGATGAGGGCGGACCAGGGGAGCAGGGCCTGAGCTTCCTTTAACACCACTAGCCCTTCTGGGGCATCAAGAGCCATAACACTGACATGACAACCTCTTCCTTCTCTGCTCTGCTGCTTTTTAGAAAATGTCTATTTTTTGGAAAATAAACAACTTTGATGTGAGTGGCTCCTGGTGCCTCAACCCCACACCCCACCCCCCAACTCCCTGGTCTCTCATCCTAGGGCAGCTCATTTGGGCAGAGGGGGCCTTTCTCTCAGGCCCTTCTCTTCCATCTGGTGATCCCACAGAACCTCAGACTTAGAAAACACCTTAGAGATGGTCTGTTCTCCCAGCTTCTCCCTTCCACCCCCTTCCAGCACCTGCCCCATGAATCTTATCTGTGATGGTCCCAAAAGGCCATCCAGCCTTTTCTTGATTCCTCCAGGGATGGGGAGGTCACTCCCTCACGGAGGCAGTCTGTTCCACTGTGACACTCAGATGGTTAGAAGTCCCTTGTATAACAAGCCCAAATCTGTCACCGTAACTTCCGCTGACTCCATCGGTACCAGCTCTGCCCCTTGGGGCCAAGTGGAGCCTTGGCCATCTCCTGGAAGGCAGTGGTTCAGAGGCCCCTCCCCAAGCTTCCCTCTGCCCTGGACAGGAGCCCCTGGATGGGGCCACACAGGAGGGGAGGAGGCCCATCTCTTGCCTTCCTTGTTCAGATAGTTTCTATTAATGAGGCCTCAGCAGCCACTTCTTCACCGTGTTTGCTTGTTGATCCTTTTCCCCCCATGGCCTATAAACTTGTACATTCGATGTTCAAAAAAACCCCAAACCATTAGGATGCAGAGGCTAAGGAGCATGGAATGTGGGCAGGAAAATCTGGCTTCCAGTTCTTCCTCAGCCACTTACTGGCTGTTACGACCCTGGGAAATTCATTAGGCTGCCCTGAGCCTCAGTTTTTCCACCTGTAGAATGAAGGGGTTGGAATGGATGACCTCTGGTGGTTCCTTCCACCTCTAGCTGTGACCTGATCTTCAGTTGAGCCAAAAGGCCTTTGGATCATCCAGAGAAGCCTTGAAGGGCATTGTTTTCCTTTTTTCCTTCCAGATTGGTTTTGAGAAAGGTGCTCACCCTATGGGTGTGGCTCCCTGGGAGACTGATGGAGGCCTCCAACCTTGCATACATTTCTGGGTGATAGGGAGACAACCCTAAGTGATTTTAGAAGTCTAGATGTGTTTTCTCCAAAACTCAATCCCAGGACCCACCTGGAGCTAGAAAATCAGAGCACTCCCCCCTTCACCCCACTTGGAGACAGCTGCAGTGATTTGAATAACCTCTCTCCAGAGACAGCTTCCTCAGGGGCCGTTGGACACTGTGCGGGGGCCGATTTGACTGGCAAACAGACACCCCCCCCCACCCTCCTCACCCCACCCTGAGCCATTGTCAATTTCGGGAGTGGGCATTATGATCCTTTAATGGGGTCAGCCCTTCCCATCTAACTCTTCCACATATAGCCAAGGCTTTCCTGCAGAGGCCTCTGGGAAATGGCTTGGCTTCCCTTGCCCAGGCCCTAGCATCCACCTTCCTATTGTAGATTAGACTGTTTGCCCAGAGAAACGGCAAATATGCTGTGGGTGTTGGAGGGAGGGGGCTGAGGTAACTGGAGCCCAACCAGGGCTCTGTTGGCTGAGGCCCATCCCAGATTTGCATGGAAAGGATGAGGTCTAGGTCCCATCCACCCTCTCCTAGAAGCAGGTGGGCAGAGCAGGAGGGTCACTGGAGAGGACACAGCCGCCAGACTCTGGGTCTCCCAGCTTGGGCAGTGGCAACAACAGCTCCCTGGTGTCCCCCACCTCTCACAGGACATGCCTCGGTCCTTTCTGGTGAGGAGCTGCCGCCCCCAGCCCCGAGACTGGGGCCACATCACTGACCAGCACCGGGGAGACACCTATATCCCAGGTAACAGCTGCCCTGGCTGCCCCCACACCTGCAGGAGGGGCCAGATGTGCTAAGGAGGATATATGTGGATGTAATCCAGGGAAAGTGCCCTCCAGCCACATGCACTAGGGGTGCTGGGTTATCAGTGGAGGGCCTCCACACCAGGAGGGGGGGGAACACAAGCATTTATTAAGCACCTACTATGTGCCAGGCACTTTGCTAAGTGCTTTACAAATATTTCACTTGATTCTCACAACTACCCTGAAGGTAGGTGCTATTATGACCCCCATTTTGCAGTTAAGGAAACTGAGGCAGAGGTGATTTCCCTAGGGACACAGAGCTGTAGGCCCAGTGCTCCATCCACTGCCTAGGAGAGATGCCCTAAAGGAGAGTGTGGCATGGCGAGCAACCTAGATCCTTTCCCATTGTCAGAAGTCTCGGGCTACAGGGGCACATGCCAGTGATTACCACATCCCACGTTCCCTGGGCTGCAGGGTGAGAGGACAGGGCTTGGGACAAGATTCTCTTTCAGACTGCAGCCTGGACAAAGGGCTGGCTGATCAAGGAGGCACCAATGCGGGGTCCCCAGGCAGAGAAACCTACAGAACCATCCCATCCCGCTTGCCACCCAACCGTGGGGAGTCCCAAGCACAGGTGACAGCCCCCAGCTCACAGGGCAACTCCAACTGTCTGTTGGGGGCGGTGGGGCAGTGTGGGGACCTGACCCAGGAGGGAGGAACAGGAGGTGCCCGGGTCTGAGCAGGGTCTTCCTTCTCTGCCCTAGGATGAGCAGGGTCCTGCAGCAGGGCAGGGCCCTGGGGGGTTGAGCTGCCCCCTCTGCCCTAAGGTTTTCCCACTTCAGCGCATGCTAACCCGCCACCTCAAATGTCACAACCCTGCCCGGCGCCACATTTGCAGCTGCTGCACCAAAGGTTTTCACGACGCCTTCGACCTCAAGCGGCACATGAGAACCCACACTGGTGAGGGGCGGGCTGCGTTGGGGGGAGGCAGGCGGGGTGTCTGTGTCCCCCCCCATTAACAGCCACTCCCTCCGCGGGCCCCCAGGAATCCGGCCATTCCGCTGCCCAGCCTGCGGCAAAGCCTTCACCCAGCGCTGCTCCCTCGAGTCCCACTTGGGCAAAATCCACGGGCAGCCTCCACGCTACGGTTACCGGGAGCGCCGGGAGAAGCTGCACGTCTGCGAGGATTGTGGCTACACGAGTGCCCGGACCGAGGACTACGTCCAGCACCGGACCCTCCACCGAGGCCGGCCCTCGTCCCTGGGCGTCCCCTACCCCTGAGTGAAGATGCCCTCCTCCCCATCCCCCGCCCCAAAGAGCGGCCTGGATGCCAAAAATAAAATGTTTTATTAAGAAACTGTGTGCGGCAGCCGGGGAGCTCGGGTCACTCTGTCCAGCGGTGGCCGCAGTGGGGAGCTGTGCACACGTAGTAGAGCCTCATGGCATCCTGGGGGAGGAGCGGAAAGACCAGTAGAGTCAGGGGAGCGGCCCCTCCTGGAGCCCTGCCCTGTGCCCTCCTCTAAGGCTAGGGAGGGGTCCCCCCTTACCTCGGCCCGGGCGCTGTGGGACTGGAAGAACACTGCCTCCTTGTGGCCACACCTGCGGAAGACCCGGCAGGTGGGACCAGGCCTGGGCCACCCCCTCCCCTCCCCCCAGGCCTGGCCCCTCCAGCCCGGGGGTACTTACTTCTGGCACGGGTGGTCCTCGGTCCTGGGAAGGGTCGGGTCCTGCGACACGTCCGCGATGATCTGGGTCAGCTCACTGTGCATGGGAGACACAAAGGAGGATCCTGGGGGAAACTGAGGCCAGGCCGGAGGTGACCCCCTCCCCATGCCCTAGCCCGTGGACTTACTCCACCTCGTGGGTGATCTTGTTCACGTAGATGCAGCTGTTATCGGCTTCCTGCTGGTAGTCACAGTTGCGACACTGCGGGGAAGGGGTTGGGGGCTTCCCTGAGTGCTCCTAGTGGGGGGGAGGCCACCCTGCGTACCCGAGTGCCCCGGCGGGGGGGGGTCCGCTCTGAGTGTCCCCGGTGGGGGAAAGGGGGAGGGGCTGCCCTGAGTACGGGGAAAGGGGGCGGGCGAGGAGGAAGAATTCAGGATCAGTATGTGGGTCTGGGGGTCGGGAGAGGATGGCGGGATTGCGGTGACCAGCAAGGGGGAGGTACCAAGGTCAAAGTGCACATGTGGGTGGGTGGGCGCTTGGTGGGCTGGGGTCTCACCGCGTAGAGAAGGATGCGGTTCTCCTTGTCCTCTTTGGGGTACAGCATGTTGTTACTGGGGGTGGGAGGCTGGAGGTCAGAGGTCACCTCAGGCCCTGGCCTGTTTGTACCCGGTCCACCCCCACCCCATCTGATCTCCGATCTGGTCCCCGCCCCGGCCCCGGCCCCGGCCCCAGAGCTCACCATTCCTGGCAGAAGCGGATTCCCACAAAACCCGGCTCGTAAGTCCCATCGGGCTCCATGGCGATGGCGAGCTAGGCTCTACTGCGCAGGCGCAGCTACGGGTCGCAGGAAGGTCCAGAACGAAGCCCCACCCACCCCCACCGCTAGGGGCGGGGCCAATACCCACGTGGGAGCTGCCTGGGAGGTCATCTATCCCAACTCCCCCGGTTTACAGATGGGGAAACTGAGGGCCCACGACTGCCTGCTCTGCTCGGGACCTTCTTGACTGTGGTCACCCATCAGCACGGTGCCGCGCGGTGGGCAGTAGTCTCGCCGTGGGGCCCCAAATACGTGGATGGTGTCCCCTGTCTGTCTCCACCCCTGGGGAACCCGTACTCTGGCGTGGGATCAGGCTGCCTCCATAGAGTCCCCTCCCCCCATCTCGGAGAAATCTGGACACACCCTGTGCCGAAGGAGCCAGGAGAAAGAAAATAAAGTGAACTATTGAGGTCATCTCCAGCCTTCTCATCGAACAAAATGGAAAACTGAGGCCTCCTGATGGGCCTGGGGGGACGGGGTGTGTGTCCAGCCGAAGGGGGTCGTGGGAATCCCCTAAACTCTGGGTGGCTGTTGGGTGCTGCCTGCCCCTCCCTCGGGGCGGGGACCAGCCCCAAGGGGACCACCCCAGCTCCGCCCGGGCTGGGGGGATGAATGGAAGGCGCGCGGTTCACTGCTGGACGCTCCACCTCGCGCCATAGCTGAGCAGGGACACGCTGCGCATGCTTCCTGGAGCTCCGGGGGCAGGCTCCTGCCAAGTCCCTCTCGCCGACTTCAGCCCGCCCGGGCCCTAGCCGAATACCGTGTTCCCATTGGTTATCAAGGTTCCGCTGCTCCAGCAAGAGGATGACTGATTGGCTGAGTCTCGTGAGAGGACCCGGATGAGCTTCACCATCTGCGGAAGGAGGGACGTTCTCGTGAGGAGGAGGCCTCTTGAGGAAAGAGTCAGGTGCCGATTGGTCTGAGTGAACAGGTTCAAGGCGGTGATTGGCTAGCGGAGGCGTGCAAGGGGCGGGGCGAAGCTTCCAGAAGCGGCGACTGTGGCTGTAGCAGTGGCAGCAGCGACGGCGGTTTCGGAAGGCGAGGCCTGAAGGGAGCGAGGAGGCGGCGGCCGGGAAGGAGCACCCGGGGCCGGGGGCCCTCCGCAAGCATGGATCTGGTCGGGGTGTCTGCGCCCACGGTCACCGTGTTCATCAGCAGCTCCCTCAACAGCTTCCGCTCGGAGAAGCGGTACAACCGGGGCCTCACGCTGGCTGAGTTCAAGGTGCGGACCCGGGAGAGGAGTAGGGGGCGGGGCCTGGGGAGGAAAAGAGGGGGCCACCAAGAGGGCGGGGCCTGGGGAAGGGGAGCTGGGAGGGGGCGGGGCCTCGGGAAGGGGAGCTGAGAAGGGGTGGAGTCTGGGGAAGGGGAGCTGAAATGGGGCGGGGCTTGGGAAGGGAAGGTGGGGGCTAAAGAGGGGGCGGGGCCTCTTGGGTGGGGTAGACGACGCGATGGGTCTGGGGGCCAACGTCAGTCAATAAACATTTCAAAAGCACCTACTGTGGTTGGTGCTAGGGGTACAGAGAGGCAGAAGACGGCTCCTGCCCTCGAGGAACTTCCATTCTAAGGGGAGAGACAACTAGCCAGCAGCTCTATGCAGGATAAATAGGAATTAATTAGCAGAGAGAAGGCCCTGAGAAGACGGGTGGGAAGGCTTCCTGTAGAAGGTGGGGTTTTAACTGGGGACTTAAAGGAAGCCAGGAAGGTCGGTAGTTGGGGTGGAGGAGGGAGAGTGTTCCAAGCATGGGGGAGAGGGACTGCCCAGAGCTGAGAGGTGGAGGGTCTTGTTCAGGGAATGGCCAGGAGGCCAGGGTCACTGGATCAAAAAATAACATGTAGGGGAGTAAGATGTAAGAAAACTGGAAAGGGTAGGAGGTGGCTGGTTATGAAGGGCTTTGGATGTCAAATAGCATTTTGCATTTGGTTCTAGAGACCATAGGGAACCATTGTAATTCATTATGGGGGAGGGGGGGTCCTGACATGGAAGTATTTGTGCTTTAGGAAAATCACTTTGGTGGCTGTATGGAGGACGGATTGAAGTGGAGAGAAACTTGAGGCAGGCAGACCCACCAGCAGCAATTGCAATAGTCCAAGCATGAGGTGACCAGGGTCTACCCCAGGGTGGGGCTAATGTCAGAGGAGAGAAAGGGGTGTATGAGAGATGCTGCAGAGGTGCCATTGCCAGGCCTCAGCGACAGCTTGGATGTGGGGAAATGAGAGAGAGTGAGGAGTCCAGGTTGCTAGCCTGGGGGACCAGGAGGGGGTTTTGCCCTCTACAGTAATAGGGAAGGTAGCAGCAGAGGAGAGTTTAGAGGGAAAGATGATAGGGTCTTTTTTGGACATGTTGAGTTTCAGATGTCTACTGGACACCCACTTTGAAACATCTGAAAGGCAGCTGGTGATTTAGGGTTGAGGGTCAGCAGAGAGGTCAGGGCAGGAAAGGTAGATCTAAGAATCATCAACATAGAGATAGAAATTAAATCCATGGGAGCTGATGAGATCACCAAGTGAAGTAGTCTAGAGGGAAAAGAAAAGAGGGCCCAGGACAGAGCCTGGAGGGATCCTGTGGTCAGATCCTGTGATCTGAAGGAGGATCCAGCAAAGAGAAGGAGGAGGAGAACCAGGAGAGAGAGGGTGGAGAGGGTGATCCACAGTGGCAAAGGCTGCAGAGAGAGGTCAGGGAGAATGAGATTGAGAAAAGACCATTGAATTTGGCAGCTTAACACATCGTTGGTCACTTTGGAGAGCAGTTTTTCTGTGGAATGATAAGGTCAGAAGCTGGATTTTAAGAGGGTTAAGAAGACAATGAGAAGAAAGGAAGTAAGGTGTTTATTGTAGATGCCTTCTCAAATTTAGCCCCAGAAGGGAAGATATGAGACAGTAGCTGGTGGGAATGGAAGGACGGAGTGAGGGTTTTTTGAGTATGTTTGTAGGAATCAGCCAGGGGACAGGGAGAGGCTGAAGCTAAGTGAGAGAGTAGGGATGATAGAGGTGGAGCTGCCTGCCAGATGAGGGGGGTGAGCTTTATTAAGGATTAAGGCCACCTCTTGATGGAGACAGGTAAAGGGGGTGAGTGAAAGTGATGAGGGATGAGGAGGACGGAGCTCATGGAGAACAGCAAGGTTCTTGGCTGGGAGGATGAGGCAGAGGTTTGAGCAGGGCTCAGTTAGTCAGGGAGGGTTAAATGGAATTCCTGGCAACAGTGAGGGATCAGTGGAGATTCTCTAACAGAAATGTGTAGTCGCGTGGAAGCCCGAGTGGTAGCAGTGAGTGGTGGGAGTGAGCCAAGGTTCGAGGTAGACAGGCAAGGTCTTCAATAGGATAAGGGGGTGAGGGGCTGAAGAGAAGAGGACAATACACCAAATTCAAGGGGTCACGATAAGGAAGAGAGGACGGCCTGGGAGAGAACGCAGGGCCAGAAGGATGCAGGGCTTGGGGCTGCAAGGCACAGGGGAACGTGGAACAAAGCATATAGGGGAGCACTTGTGGGTGGCAATGCCCACCCATCTCTGTGGGCAGCTAAGGGGGTGGGGAGGAGGTCATGGGAAGGCAGTAACTACAGGACCAAGAGGAAGGGTCACTATTGTGCATGAGAGTCACCTGATATGAGGGCAGGTGTTGAGCAGAGAAAGACAGATGGGCAGCGACCCTTGACCAGAGTGGAGAGTGGTCAAGAAGGCTGAGAACTGAGAGAAGGCCCTTCGTGTTGGCGACGAAGAAGTCCCCTCATCGGTGACTTTAGAGAGAAGTGAAGCCAGATAGCAAAGGGCTGATGTAACTGAGTGAGAGGAGAGGCCCTTCTCCAGGAGAATTGAGGAGGAGGGAGATAGGGTCTTGTCAAGGCTGCAGGGAAGGAACCCATAGGAAGGTCAGGGGTGGAGAGTAGAGAGATCATAGAAGGGACAATAGACAGCACTGTGGCTCCCCGTTACCTCCAGGCTCATTACAGGGTGGCCCAGAAGGCCTAGTACAATTGTAAGCTTTAATAACTTGAAACTGCACTAAGACTTTTGGGACACCCTGTCTAAAAAAAAAAATCCCATCTGCTGTTCAAAGCCCTTAAGAACCTGGCCCCCTTCTGCCTTTCCAGTATTCTTAGACCTTACTCTGGGATCCCGTGACACTGGCCTCTTGGCTGTTTGTGGAACAAGATTCACCGTCTCCAGCCTCCAGGCATTTTCCCTGGCTGTTCCCCCTCCCTGAAGCACTGTCGCTCCTCATCTCTATCTCCCAGCTTCCTCAAATCCCTCCTTCTGCTGAAAGCCTTTCCCAGCCCCTCCCCCTGTCGCTTATCTCAAGTTAATCCTGCCTGTGTCTTGTGCCCAGGCCATAGTGAGAGCCTAATAAGTACTCCTTGACTGGCCATGAGATAGTGCGAAGGAGATGGTGAAGGAAGGAAGACCTGGCTGGTGGAGGGGGAGCTTTCAGAGAGGGACCTCAGTTTTTTTTTATGAGACAGATTTCTCAGCTGAGATGGTGAGGGTGAGAGCGATGGGAGGCCCGAGGTGCAGAACTCTGAGGGAATGAGATCTCTGCAGGGGAGGCTGTCGTGGGAGGATGGGGCCTGGAGAGGAGAGGACAAGTCTGGGGAGAGAGGAAAGGGCTGAGTGTGGAAGAGGATGCAGGGCCCAACTCGGCATGAACAGACTTAGGAAGACACATCTGGGAGACTCCTGTCCCTCGCCGCAAGTATACAGGTTTCCCTCATGTAAACAAGCAGCAGAGGATGTGCGAGGCGTAGTCAGAAGTCCTGGGCTTGAGTCGTACCTCCCGATTTATTAACTGTGGGACCCTGAGCAAGACTCTTAAGCCTTTGGGCCATAATTTCCTCATTTGTAAAATGCATTGTGGAGTCAGATCCTTCTCAGTTTTCTCCTCGCTCTGACGTGCCATGATTCACTGTGCGTCCCCATCCCTCAGTGTAAGCTGGAGCTGGTGGTGGGGAGCCCGGCCTCCTGCATGGACCTGGAGCTCTACAGTGCCGATGACCGCTTCTGCATGAAACTTGACCAGGATGATGCTCTCCTGGGCTCCTACCCAGTGGACGATGGCTGCAGGATCCATGTGAGAGATGTTCCTTGCCCCGCCCCTCCTCCCAGTTCTTGGGCCCATTGCCATGCATGGCCCTGTCGCCCTTGGCTGTGAAATCCCCATCATGCCTCACGGTTCAGCTCTTCCAGGCCTCCTCCTCCATGCCCTACCCTGGAGATCCCAGGGTGATAGAGCTGGAAGGGGCCTGTCAGCCCAGTCCCTCATTTTATATGGGAAATGGAGGAGGCCGCAACTTGCCCAGAGGCCTACAGGTACTTAGGGATAGGGCTGGGCCCTGAGGCAGATCCTCTGCCTCTGAGGCTGGGGACTTCCTGCATGAACGCCATTCTTTCTGTGTGTTTATGCCTGCCCCTACTGACCTCCCTCACATTTCTGGCCTGAAATCCCTCCTGGACTTCATCCCCGATGTTGCTATGCTCATGGCACCTTTGTTGGAAGCCGCCCTCACAGATGGGGCCTTTCCTAGAGCTCCAGGCTCAGTCACTGTCTCCCCACAGGTCATTGACCGGAGTGGGGCCCGTCTGGGCGAGTACGAGGACCTGTCCCAGGTGGAGAAGTTTGAGCTCTCCCAGTCAGCCTATGAAAGCAGAACTGGTACAGGAGCATGAAGAAAGCTTGGGGGATGGGGGAGCATTGGGGAGAGTGGAGGGGCCATGAGAAACTGGGGGGATGAGACTAGAAAGGAAGGGGCCCAGGTGTAAATGGGAAGGATAGAAAATGGGGGAGAGAAGAGACTCAGGGCCTAGGGGAGCTGGGGGGGGGCCTGGGGATCGGGGGGGTTTAAGTTTGGGCCAGTGACCCCCTTGAACCCTGGCCTCCAGACTCCGTACGCTCCTTCCTGAAGCGCAGCAAGATGGGCAAATTCAATGAGGAGGAGCAGAAGCGACGAGAGGCCGAAGCGGCCCAGCGACTGGCTGACGAGCAGGCCCAGGCCCAGGCCATCACGGTGGGGAGCCGCTGCCAGGTGCGGGCGGCTGGCCAGCCTACCAAGCGGGGCACTGTCATGTATGTGGGTGAGTCAGTGGGCCAAGGCAGCACGGGGCATTTAGGTGGGCATCAAGGCGCAGCAGGATGGACAAGTTGGGCTTGCTCTGGGCCGGGGCAGGTAACTTCCCCCCAGAGCCTCAGACTCCTCAGCTTAAGAGCCAGTACTCATGCAATACCTGCCCGACAGGAGCTTCCATTCTGGCTGAGAAAACTATGTGAACAGCATCTAAGTGTGCATAACCAAGGTGATTTCAGAAGCAGCTGGGGATTAGGACCGGCCTCAGAAAGCTGAGCTTTCTAGGAAACTGGAAATGTTAACAGAGGAGGAGGAAGGGGAGGCACAGCCCAGGCATGGACAGCTGGGGCGAGTCACAGGGATGGGGGATGGGAGGGTCTGCAGTGATAAATGGAGGTGATCGGGAGCTCCTGGAGATGAGCACGTAGGGCAGCGGCCAGGTCTGGCAGCCGTGTGATAGACGAGAGCCGATCGAAGGGCCTGAGGGGCCTGGCGGCCGGGCCGGAGCTGGGGAGGGCAGGGGGTGACAGCGGCAGCTTCTCCGCAGAGTGAGTCCTTGTAAGGATAGCACCTTGTAAACCTTAACAGGCTAGAGAGACAGGCGCCACCACTGTCGTGGCCCTGGTCAGCCAGGTCCTCACTGAGCTGCTTCTTGTGGGCAGGACTCACGGATTTCAAGCCCGGCTACTGGGTTGGCGTCCGCTATGACGAACCGCTGGGGAAGCATGATGGCAGGTGAGGCCAGACTCCCTCAGGCGCCCATCCTTGGGGGGGGTGTGTGTGTGTGTGTGTGTGTGTGTGAGAGAATGTGTATATGTGAGTGCGTGTGAATGTGTGTGAGTGTATGAGTGTGAATGTGTGTGTGTGCGTGTGAATGTATGTATGTGTGTGTGAATGTGAAGGTGTGCGTGTGAATGTATGTGAGTGTGTGCGTGTGGGCGGCCCCATGACCTCTGATACTCTCTTTTTCGCCTGCAGTGTGAACGGCAAACGCTACTTTGAGTGCCAGGACAAGTATGGTGCCTTTGTCAAGCCCCACACGGTGACCGTGGGCCACTTCCCAGAGGAGGATTACGGACTGGACGATGACGAGATGTGACCCCCCAGTGGGGGTGGGGGGGGTTAAACACTACTGGGGGGGGCGTCCCCTTGGATGCGGCCTCCCCTTCTCTTCCCCACCCTCCAGCCCGGGCCCCTCCCTCCTTTTCCGTGTCTGTGGCGTATTCCCTCTTCCCTTCCCTCTCTTGAGTTGTATTTTTTATCTTATTTTCCCCTTGGCTCTTGTGTGGTTGTGAGACAAGTGAATTAAATGCCTCTGAATCCCTTGGAGGCAGCCTGGGTTCCTGGCGGGAGGGCATCCCGCTGCTAAAGATGGTGGGTGGTCAAGGAGGGGGAGCGTGGACAGGAGGAGTAGCAGTGAGCCTGAAGGGGAGTCCGGCCTTCGCTCTCCTCACATCTGGTCAGCCCAGAAGTGGCCTGTGCCCCCAGAACGGCCTTTTAGAGGCTTGTTTGGAAGCTGTGTTGAAGAGGAGAGAGCCTGGAGGCAGGTGGCTCATTTTACACGGTGTGGATTGACCTCTTGTTCTTACATCGCCTCCTACCTCTCCCAGAGGCCCATCCCACATCAGAATAAAAATTCAAACAAAAACCAAACCAATGCATCTGCATCTGCAGCATCTGTAGCACTCAACACCCATAATCCTCCAGCTCTGCCAACAACGAAGGGAAGGGTATGCTCACATCTCTTCTCTTGGGCCAAACTTGGTTGTTACAATTCTATACAGGGAAGATTTTAATAGAAAGCTGCTGAAATACAGGCAGCTAGGGGGCGCCATAGTGCACAGAACGCAAGTCCGGGAGTCTGGACGACTCCTCTCCCCGAGTTCAAATGTGGCCTCAGGCACTTCCTAGCGGTGTGACCCTGGGCAAGTCACTTCACCCTGTTTTTTGCCTCAGTTTCCAATGAAGAGTCGGATGTAATGAACAGTAACTGAAATAGAGCCAGCAGATGTAGTGGACTAGAGGGCTGAATTTGTCAGGAAGACCAGGTTCATTCTGGCTTGGTGACCCTGGGCACGTCCCATTACTTCTCCGTGTTCTCAAGTGACTAAGGAGTTGCTAATTGCATCTGTGGAGGAATTTGTCCTACTGGGAGGTCACCACAATGATGAAATTAGTGGTCTGAGACCTCTCACCCCCCATAAGTTAAAATGAAAAATTTAAAATAGTCCGAGACCATGCCTTCCTTTTGTCATTCTTACCAGCTTACTGAGTTTAAAGTGAAGCCTCGGCACTATTTTGATGGGCATTTTTCTAATTCTTGGTCATTTGGAATATTCTTTCATATGGTTACTAATTTACAATTCTTTTGGGATCTGTCCAGATCATTTGCCCACATCTCTATTGGAATGGCTTTTGGTCTTAGATGTTTCTGTTAGGTTTTTATGTAGCTTGGATGTGAAACCCATATCAGAGGCATCAGTTACAAAGATTTTTTTACCCCACAGCTGACCACTTCTTACTTTTTGCAATAATTTTGTTCATGCAAAACTTTAATTTCCAATAAGCAAAATTATCTATTTTTTGTAATTTCCCCTATCCTTTGTTTGGTAAAGAAGTTACCTCCCCAAAGTTATAAAGATCAAACATGACTCCCAAAAAAGAGATGTGGACACTCTCAACCCATGCCCACCCCCCTTTTGGAGCTGGGAGGATCAGAGTTGACTGTCTTAAGACTTTATTTTGATATATTCAGCAATTGTGCTGATTTTTTTTTCTTTTTTCCTTTAAAAATAATTTGTTATATGAGATAGCTTTCAGGGAGGGGGAGGAAAACTAAAAAAAAAAAAGAATTCACTCTTTACCCATAGCTGTGAAAGGTATATGATGAGCTTCTAATTTTTTAAATAATTCCTTTAATCACACTCTAATTAGGCATCTGTGGCATAGTGGAGAATGGGACCCTTGACCTTAAGCCAGTAACAGCCTCTCAGTGCCTCTAGGTACTAAATTGCAAAGAATGGGCCAGAGAATTAGTGGAGGGAATGTATTCTTGAGTAGGTCCCTACTTAAGTGAAATCGAAGGTCTCGCCCTTGGCTTTAACATTCAGGGCACGGGTCCATTTTGAATTTATTGTGGCCCGTGGTCTGTGATGTCCAGTTTTCCCAGTAGTTCTTAACAAAGAGTGAATTTTTTCCGAGGTTATTTATGTTTTCAGACTTAATGGGCTTTACAGTAGTCATAGGTGACTAAGTATTTATCAAGCCCTACTATGTGCCAGGCATTGTCCTAGGACGTCACTGGGGAAACAAGTACTAGGAACCAACCGATCGTATGTGCCCACCTCCTCGCACAGTGCCTGGAACTTAGTAGGCACTTACTAAATGCTTGTGTGCATTCCATTGCAAGCAAACAAGCCCTGCTCCCGGACCGGCGGGTCACGAGCTCTCGGTAAGAGAGGAGGCTCGGAGGAAAAGCCCCCCACACTGAGGGGACCCCGCCCTCGGCGCTAAGGCCGCTTCCGCGTCTCGGGATGGCCCCCGGGCCTGGGCGATGAAGCTAGGCCCCGGCTTCCGGGGGCGGGGACAGGGATGGGGCCCGCGGAGTCACCCCAGCCCGTGGTGGGGGCCATTTACTCTCCCCTCCTTCCCCAGCTAGGCTGGGCCGCTACAACAGCTGTGCCCTCTCTCCCCCCACCCCACCCCCTCGCGTGTCCGCGACGTGTAACGCGTAGCCCCGCGTGGGCCCCGGGAGCGCCGGGATGCGTCTGCCCTGAGTCACTGGCTGTGGGGGGAACTCGGATGGGGCTCTTAAAGGCACAGACACCCCCTTTCCCCCCCCCACCCCGTGGACCCCGCAGGGCGGGGGACTGGGCACCGGTTCCGGGAGCAGCAGGTGGGCGGGGACGCCCAGGTCCCGTTATGCAGCGGGAGGGGGCGGGGCGGGACCGGAGAGGCCCAAGGGCGGGCTCTAGGGCCGCGCGGACGCCCTAGGAAGGAACATCGCCTCGGGCGGGGCCGCCCCTGAGTCACCCCGGCCCCGCCCGACCCTCCTGCAGCAGGACCCGAGTGGAGCAGAGCAGCGGGGCAGCAGGCCAGGCCGGATCAGGGGAAACTGAGGCCGAGCCCGAGACCAGGGTGAGAGGGGCCCCCGAGCCCGCCCCAAGCGCCCCCCAAGCCCGGGATCCCCAACCCCGCTCAAGTCTCCCCCAGCCTGGCCTTGAGCCCGTGGAACCTGGACCCCGAACCCCGGCTTCCCTCCCTGAACCCTTGTGCTCCCTGATCCCCAATACATGGGCACGAGAAAGAGCCCCACAAGAACCTGGGACCCCCAACCTTGACTCCCCAAAGGCAGCCCCAGGCCCCCCTGAACCCCAGTCCCCACCCCCCAAACCCTGCCCCGGCACCCGACCCCCACCGCGGCTGGGTCGGGGTCCTGACTTCTGTCCCCCCCTCCCCGGCCCCCAGGTCCCGGAGACATGTTCCTGGTTAATTCATTCCTGGGCGGGAAGGGCGGCGGGGGCGCAGGCAGAGCTCTCGGGGGGCTGCTCAGCGGAGGCGGCGGCGGCGGCGGCGGCGGAGGCATCGGCAATGTCATCGGGGGGCTGCTCAGCGGGGGCGGCGGCGGCGGCGGCGGCGGAGGGGCGGGGGGCGCCATGGGCATCCTAGGCGGCGTCATCAGCGCCATCAGGTAAGTGGGGGGCTGCCCGGGACGCTGGGGGCCGGGTACGGGGAGCCACGGACGTGGGAAGCCCCGGGACATGTGGAGGTCTCGGGATACTGGGAGCCTCAGATACGGGGAGCCCCGGGCATGGGGGTGCTGGTACATGGGGAGCCACGGGACATGTGGAGGTCCTGGGATACTGGGAGCCTCGGATACGGGGAGCGCCGGGCATGGGGGGTCCTGGGATATGGGGAGCCCCGGGACATATGGAGGTCCTGGGATACTGGGAGCCTCGGATACGGGGAGCCCCGGGCATGGGGGGTCCTGAGATATGGGGAGCCCCGGGACATGTGAGGTCCTGGGATACTGGGAGCCCCGGGATATGTGGTGGGTGGGGAAGGAAGCTGGAAAGGGGAGTGGGCCTGAGCTGGGTGGTGAAGAAGCACTGCGACAGTAGGGAGTCATGACAGGTATGGGGCAGAGGAGGGGTCGTCAGACCTTGCGAGGAGCCCCGGGTTCGGGGACTCCAGTCTCAGCCCAACTCAGCAGAGCCACGAACCCCCTCTGCCCGTTGTTGAGGGGGTGGGACTTGGTGGTCTTCTTAACGTTGGAAAGGCCCTAAAGTTTATGGGGTGCGTTGGAACGTCTGGAAGGGGCCTCACTGGTCCACCTCGGTCGCCTCTCGGTTTACAATTGAGGGAACTGAGGGCCCACAGAGTCAGGCTGCATCCCAGGGAACCCGGGTCCTCCTACCGCACGCTGTATCGGGAGGTGGGGGAGGGGCACGGACAGGACTAGGGGTCTGCAGACTAATCCACCCCTTCCTGCGGAGAGCCTGGAACGATCCGAAGTTTAGATAAAATGGTGACTCAGCTGGAGTCTGTAGGGGCCCGAGCCACCGAGGGCCAGCCCGACACATTCCAGGGGGTCCTGTGGGGAAAGAGCATTCTCTTCTTTGGGAGACAGCTTGGTTCAGAGGATCTGCCTCCGCAGCTTCATATTTGTGTGACTTGTCTTCCCCAGGCCTCAGTTTCCTTCTCTGTAAAAGGAGGCTAGGCCAGGTGGCCTCCTAGGCTAGGCCCCTTCCAGCACCAAATCTATGATTCTGTAATTGGAGACCCAGAACTTGAGTAGTGGCAGGTGGGTAGGAGCCCGGCAGCTGGGGAGGGGGGCGGTGCGGGATAGGTCTGAGCTAAGGTTGGGAGGGGTCTAGGAGGGGGAGGGGCAAAGAGGCGTCCAGGTTGGCTGGAGAATAGAGTTGGTGGAAGGGAGTCAAGGCGGGCCCAGGAAGGTGGGGCAGAAGAGTCTGGAGGCAGGGTTGGGGCTGCTGATGGTTTTTGAGCAGAGGAGCAAGTAGAGGAAAGCGTCTGACCCCGCCCCCATCCCTTTTTTATCCGTTTCCTATTGGGCAGTCCTTACTGAACCCCGCTCCCCTCCTGATGAGGTCTGCCTGGGGCAGAGGACAGCGGGTCACCATCTCCTTGTTCCTGGACTCTGCCATTTCACACGCCACCCGAGTTTCAGCATAAAACACCGTAGCAGCTTGGGCAGAGCAAGTTAGATCAGTCACTTAGTGGGGAGCCAGGAAGGAAAGCCCACTCCTTGGGGTCAGCTGCTGGTGGGCAGTGGGGGCGGAGGATGGAGGAGATGAGGAGTCAAAGGGCAGAGGGTGCTGGGGCTCCATTTCTGGGTGGATGCTAGTCCAAGGGAAGGGCCTTCTAAGACTGGGAAGACGTGAGGATATTGGTGCTGGAGCAGGCTCTCCCCCTTCTTGGTGTCTGAGAATCCTGGGCCTCCTCTTAGATATGCCCAGCTCCCTGAAGTCTCTTACCTGACTTTGGTCGCTGTTGCATTTTTGGGTGAAGGCAGGCTTTATGTTAACCCAGCAAGAGAATGTAAGCTTCTTGGGGGCAGGGCCTGTTTCTTTCCTTCTTGGTGTGTTCTGCACAGAATTGATGTTTAATTGAATGACCAGATGTAGGGGTAAGAAAGATGGTTCTGCCTGCAGTGGAAAGGGGTGGAGAAAGGAGAGACACCTGGTCGGGAGACAATTTTAAGCTCTTGGCTGTAGATGAAGAGAGGTGTGGTAGGGGATGCCCCGGCCCTAAGTGGGGTTCAGAATGGGGACTCATGTTAGGGGAAAGGAGGAGCTTGTTTTGGGATACATTGAGATCTAATGAAGAAATAAAAGAAAGCATTTATTGGGTGTTTTCTGTGTGCCAAGCCCTGTGCTAAGGGCTGGGGGTCTCAGTAAAAGAGGGAGCCAGGCGCTGCTTCCATTCTGACAGCAGGAGACAGAGGAGGTCTGGGGCTGCGTGTCACATGGGGAAGGGGGAGGCCCTTAGGTGTAGTTATAAGTCAGATGTTGGAGATGATGGATCTGGACGTTACCAAGGAGGACTTGGTAACAGGGTACATGGGTAAGGGAGAAAGACCAAGCATGCAGTCGTAACAACTCTCAATAGGCATCATGACAAAGAGGTGACCTTGGGTGATGGTTAGAGGGCCTGCCTGGGAGTCAGGAGGAACCAGGTTCAAATCCTGCGTCTGATCCATTCTTACCAAGCTCCCCCCAAGACAAGCCACAGAAACCTTATGAGACAGTAATTTATATTGGTGGAAGAGATTTTCCCCACCAGTGAGAGAGAGTTCCGTATAACTGTTGGAGTCACAGACCCAGACCAAGATGAATAGGTAGTTTTCAGGACTTTTTTTTTTTGGTCTGGATAGGTGATTTCTGATGTTGGGAACTCCCAGTAAGAAAGGACCTTCTCCCAGTGCAGAATATAAGTGGTCTCAGAGTTGTTGGGGCCCCTGAGACGGGGTCACACAGGGTCACACAGCCAAGGGGCCTCTAAGGCATCCTCAAGACTTGAACCTCGGGGCAGCTAGGTGGCACAGTGAATAGCGGTCTGGCCTTGGAGTCAGGAGGACCTGAGTTCAAATCCAGCCTCAGGCACTTAACACTTACTAGCTGTGTGACCCTGGGCAAGTCCCTTAACCCCTATCGCCTCACCAACAAAAAAAAAAAAAAAAAAAAAAAAGACCTGAACCTCCCAAGTCTTCTAGCCATTGTCCATGCTGCCTTTATTTAATGTTCAGTTGTTTGTGTCTAATTCTTCATGACCCCATTTGGGGTTTTCTTTGCAGAGATACTGGAGTGGTTTGCCATTTCCTTCTCCAGCTCATTTTACAGATGACGAAACTGAGGCAAACAGGGTGAAATGACTTGCCCAGGGTCACACAGCCAGTAATTATCTGAGGCTGGATTTGAACTCAGGTCTTCCTGACTACAGGCCCAACACTCCATCCACTGGCCACCTAGCTGCCCCTCATTTTATATATATATATATATCATAGATAATCACTGCAGTCCACCAACCCCAAATCTCCCTCTGTGGTCGTATGAGGTCTCTCTCTTTGTTGATACAGAGATTCGTTGTATCTTGCTTTGAGGTTTGAAAATTTCTCCATCTCTGTTATCTCGTTGGAACCTCTCCATAATTCTGTCAGGTAGATACTTACAGGTTTTATCATCATTTGACACAAGAGGCCCAGAGAAGGTCATGTAGCTGAGTGAGAGAGGGTCAGAGTTTATATGTAGAAGTATTTTTGCCTTCTCAATGGGTGAGAGAGGTAGAGGAAGGGAGAAAATTTGGAACTGAGAACAAAAATTTTTAATTTTAAAGGGGGGGGGTGGGTCAGAGGTGGGATTTGAACCCAGGTCTCCCTGCCTCTTGAGTCTTGGGCTCTTGACTTCAGGCATCCAAACCTGGGTGACAGACTCCTGAGGTCTATGGGGGGCAAGGTTGTGTTGGCTCTGACCCTCCACAGCACCCAGCACAGTGCTTAGGAAATGTTTGGTCAGAAGCAGTGAAGTCTCCAGAAGGAATGGGCTGAGGGATGGTGACCAGGTCAGTTTTGATGTGCATCTAAGGTGCAGTGTCACTGGACGTTAAGGTGACAACAGTCTCTTGGTTGTGGGAGATACAGGACTGGGGCTGAGGGGAGACAGAAAGAAAGGGGGGGGAAGATAGAAAGAGGAGAGAGAGACAGAGGGGTGGAGCGAGGAGGGGAGAAAGAGAAGTGGAGGGGAAAGAAGAGGGAAAAGAGAGAGAGGAGAGAGAAGAGAGAAAGGAGAGAGGAGAGAGAGACCCTAATGAGAAATGAAGAGGACAGACCTGGGGAGTGGGGGGCACCTGTGTTCAGGGTATGGGAGATGGTGAAGGATCCATTAGGACGTAGGGAGAGGGGCTTCTCTAAGGAGACAGGAGGGAATGAGTTAGACAGGGATTCTGCCTGTAAAGGGATCACAGCATACCAGATGAGAGTTGGAAGGAACCTGAGTCTAACTCCCTCATTTTACAGATAGGGAAACCGAGGCCCAAATTTACTAAGAAACCTGGCCCAGCCAGTGTAGGTGGTAGAGACCCAATGCATTCTTTTTTTTTATTTCTTTATTTAGATCTTAACAAACACCAAATAGCTCATCATCTCTAGGTACATAAGACAGAAAAAAGATTGTGCATGAAACAGTAGATGCATGATTTTCTTACTCAGAAAAGGTAGAAAACCTGCATCTTTCAAAGCCGTCCTGCTTTTCTGTGCTTCTCTCTGACCCTCCCATTCTCTTCTCTGCAATTTTAAAAACTGTGCCTCAGCTACCCTCTGTAATTTTGCTGTGCTAGCCCTCTCCCCTCTCCTCCTACCCCCTCTCGTTGGGAGAGAAAGAAAAATTGAGCCCTGGGCGCTAATCTGCCACGTTGCCTGTGTCTGAGAAGGTGTCTCCTGCTGTATCCCAAGGCCAGCCCTGCAGTCCCAGCTGGTCGTTGTTAGGATCAGAATTCCCAGGTCTTTCACATGATGGCACGCACTGTGTAAATTTTTCTGGGTCTGTTCACTTCCGTCCACATCAGTTCATACAGGTCTTCCCAGGTTTCCCTGAAACCATCCCCCTCATCATTTCTTACAGCACGATAGGATTACGTCACGTTCATAGGCCAGAACTTGTTCAGACATTCCCCAATTGGAGGGGCATTCCCTCAGTCTCCAATTCTTTGCCACCACTAAAAGAGATGCCATAAATGGTTTTGTACCTGGGGGTCCTTTTGCTCTTTCGTTGGGGGTAACCAATGTGCCATACTGCCTGCCAGGAGAGACTTGTAGGTAAGAGGGGTGGCAAGGGGTTGAGAGCAGGAGTCAATGCCTGGGGGACTGGATTAATGTGATGGATGGATGAGTCACGCTCGCAGGAAATCACTTAGAGGAGCCTTACTGTTATAACCGGGGTTATTGGAGGGGTACCTGGGTGTTGTCTCTTGGGTGGCAGTCAGCAGCTACACAAGGGATAGGACCAGGGTCTAGGCAGCTACTGGGCCTCCCAGGGCCACACGTGGGGCTGCAACCCAGGGCCCAAGGGCCTCAGTGCCCAGGAGATGGGGAGAGGCTTTGATGCCAGGAAGGCTGGCTAGGAAGGATGCTGGTGGAGCAGTCTTGCTTGAGGCATCTTGGGGGGAGAGTGGGAGGAGCATGAGATATCAGGGCTCCTCCATTGTAGACCAAGCAGTCTTTCTTTTTTTTAAGTATTTGTATAATTGTATTTAAATGTAATTGGTTTCCTTTGTAATCCTATGTATTTTATCGATTTAAAAACCTGCTTCTAGGAAGGAGTGCAGAGGGGATTTAGGTGGGATCCCCAGAGGCCACCCCCTCATTTTACTAATGTGGAGACTGAGGCCTCGGGAAATGAAGTGACCTGCAAAGGTCACCCAGGTAGTGAGTGGCAGAGGTGGGTGTAGGACGGGCGGCTGCTAGCCACAGTGCTGTAACGTTAGCTGAAAAGCAAAACTCAAGACAAGTCACAGAGTTAGCTCAGCAATGATACTATTGCTGGGAGAGTCCCGGACCACAGGAAGGGGTGGAGGGGTGGAGGAAGAAGGCTGCCCCCTGTCCCCCCCCTCCTCCTTACCCTGCTCCCCTGCCCCCTCCTAGGACCTGGGGGCTGCAGATGCCAGGGGGTGATTAGGGCCAGCTTCCAGCAGCAGCAGCAGGTAAGTGCTCTCTAAAGGAGATGACTAACTGCTCCTGCGAAATGCTGCCTGCACCCTCCCACAGGCCTGCTGGGTCTGTTTTCCTTAGCTCTCTCTTTGTTACCTGGGAGGGTTCTGTGGGGGCTGGGCAGGTTATCAGGAAGTGATTGTGATTTTGAATGAAACAAAGGAGCATCAGTAAAACGAGTGTGTGTGTGTGTGTGTGTGAGAGAGAGAGAGACCAAGTTGGGAGGCAGTGAGTGAAGAATTCTGGGAGGGTCACTCCTCTCTGAGGGGAGGGGTTCTTGGCAGGGATCTGACCCTGGTTCTGAGGATGAGGAGTCACTCGGGCCTGGGCAGAGAGGCCCTTCTGTAGGTTGCCAGACCGGTTTTGTGGAGGGGGTAGGGCCGGTCTCTGCCCCTTCCATGACACCCCCCTTCCCCATTCTTCTCTCTAGTGAAGCTGCAGCCAATTATAACCCAGAACCCCCGGTAAGTGAATCCTCCCTTTCCCACCCTTTTCCCCCCCCCCCCCCCCCCGTCTCTGCTGTGTATGAGGGAGGGCATGCCTGCATTCTTGGGTCGGGGGGATGGACAGTGGAAAGAGAAGGTAGTTTCTCCTCTGAGCCTGCTCTTTCCCCCCAGCCCCCTCGATCCCACTTCTCCCACATCGAGGCCAATGAGAGCGAGGAGGTCCGGCAGTTCAGGAGGCTCTTTGCCCAGCTGGCAGGAGACGTGAGTGCCCAGCTCCCTTCCCACATGCTCTCCCTTTGGTGCCCCAGTGAGCATCCCCAGGGATGGATGGGCCCCTAGACACAGGTCCAGTCCTTTCCTTCAGCCCTGTGCACCCCTGGAGGCCTCCTAGGAGTGGGCTTTCGCCCAGAAGAAACCCCAGGGCAAGGGGACCCCTCCCTCTCTCCTGCTGGCTCAACCTCTCCTCCCACCCTCACCCCACAGGACATGGAAGTCAGTGCCTCTGAACTCATGAACATCTTAAACAAGGTGGTGACTCGACGTGAGTGCCTGGTGACCGGGGAGGGGGAGGAGGGCTGGGCTAGGGCCAGGGATGGTGGAAGTGGTGTGAACTCTGACCTTGGACCTTGGCATCTACAGACCCTGACCTGAAGACTGACGGTTTTGGCCTCGACACTTGTCGGAGCATGGTGGCCGTCATGGACGTATCCTTGGGGATTTGGGGGGAGGCTTTGGGGGGGCGTGTCCTAGGCGGAGGGTTCCCCACTCTGCCCTCTCCTGCATGCTGTGACTTTGCATCATGGCCCTCCTCCCTCCCAACTTGAGCCTTAACTTCCTGCCCCCACCAGAGCGATACCACCGGCAAACTTGGCTTTGAGGAGTTTAAGTACCTTTGGAACAACATAAAGAAATGGCAGGTGGGTCTGCCCCTAGGACCAGCCTGCCCTTCCCCAATCCCAGGCCTTTCTGCTCACTTGACTTCCTGAGAGCTGCCCCTCTCACCACCCACTGCCTCCTGCATCCTGGGCCTTTCCTAGGGGCCGAGCTGCCCCTCC